AGTAAAAAGACAAGGAAATAAGTTTTTACTATTTTTTTGTTCAATTCAGTAGCCATAGTGAATATATAACCCCTCAATGATATTGCAAACCTTAAAAAACAAAAGCAAGCAAATGCAGAAAGCTATTGAGAGGCATGAGTGTAACCATCTACTCCAGATAAGTCCCTGTTTCCGTCCTTTGCAGTCTTCGGGCAACAGTACAGAGATGCAGGAGGAATCCAGGAGCATGCCAGAGCTACATAAGGCATCTTCTGTAGATGATTTGCCCTTCCATATGACACTATTTTCATGTGGTTTTGCTCCCTTCTGTGTAGTGGAAAAGAGTGCTGGACTGTCCAGCTCTGACTGAACATCAGATAATGATTACATTCTTGCACAGGAAATTCTGCAGCCTTAGGAGAGGGCAGGAGAAGTCTGGGTGTCTTACATTACCTGTTCTCTCTCTCCAGAAAGGTTTTTTGAAGATCATGAAAACGTCGTTGAAGTGTTATCATACTGGACTCGTGACACTGAGAATAAGATTCTGTTTTTGGAAAAACGTGAAAAATATGCTCTATTTAAAAATCCTCAGGTAAGCTAATGTGGTATTTGGATAAGAGTCTAAAATTATGTCATTTAGTCTGTATTATTATCTGTGTTATTAATTTGCTTTCAGCTTTGTCAGTTCAGAATTAGAGAAAGCAAAACTTGTGCTGTCAACAAAAAAACCTCAATGTTGAATGAAATAATTTGAAAATTAGTGCTTTCTGTTCTTTTCTGATACTATTTTAAAGTCCTGTCTGCAGTGGTAAAAAATGAATCATGTAGTTCTCCACTGGTACAAGCTGTTGTTTAGGCACAGCTCTCAAAACTGGGGTGAGATGGCACAGCTGTAAAAACTTGGCCTTCGTCAGTGCTACAGTTTCTCCACCATTTCTACTGATGAAAATCAACATTTCCTTGAAGGTCTGTTTTTTGCTAGTTTCACATGAAACTTCATAAAGAGTATACTGAGTACTACAGAGAGTTTATCTGGATTTTTTTAGACTGGGGAGAAGAATTGGGTGAACAGTGACTTGTGCACACTAACTTTGTAAAAAGAGGGTCTGCATACTGAATTGCATCAAATTATCCAGGATAGGTGTATACACAAATTGTTTATTTCTTGAGATATGTGGTCGAAACTGTATTTACAAAGACCTTAGCCTATACAGTTGATGGATTCTGGGGCACTAGATCTTTTCCTCTTGTCAGCAGTCTGTTGGCTCACGGAGCATCTGGTTTGTTCCTGAGGGCAGCAAGAGAAAAATGAGCAATTCAGCATTGCCGAAAAAGTGAGTCAAATATGTAATTTGGCAGCAAATCTCACCAAGCTGGTCATTAGGAATTTTTTTTTTTCAGAATGAACCAGTGTTTCAAATAAAACCTGCAGGGAGGAAGTTTCCTTCATTGACATAACAAGTGTCCACAGTCAGGGAAAGAAAACTTATCCTGCAGTGTACATGGATTGATGTTGACTTTTAATATGAAACAGCAAAGCCAAGTTTGGAAGTAAAGCATACGTGGTCACTCAAGATGTCATACTTTCTAATGCACATAAACATGCCTAGCAGCAGAGGTTCAACTGTACATCTGATTCATACACTCGTAGTGGTATTTGGACAAGTGGCTTAGGACAAGGCTGTGAACCTCCCGTAGGAAGTAAATTTCTGATGAAGATTCTGGGAATTTCGGTTGCAATGAGCTTTAGAGATAAACAAGACCTACACCAAAACCAGAATAAGAGTATAGCTCTGTCCTCTCTTCTTAGGACATGCTGAGCTTGATCTGGACATGTTGCAGTCCTTGAGCTTCAGCCCCTCTGTGATAAGCTCTAAAATGAACAGCCTAAGGAAACTGGAGCAGTTGCAGCTATCACACTATGGAAATATTTTGCCAGTAATAAAGTCTCACCATCTGTCAGGCTTAGTAAATTCAAACATTGTGAGACAGGCAGAATAGTACGGTCGTACCAGCAGTTTGTCTTTTTGACAGAAAAATAATCAGTATTGTACAGACAGAGCTCACGCTAGGTAATGGAACATGGTAAAAATACATGATCTGGAGTGAGTGTCTGAAAAGGTAAACCAAGCAGAAATGCTGAGTTGGGGGGGTGCAGGGTGTATAATTGCCTAACTAACTACTTACGGAAATGATGGTGTAACCTATGGGAAACTGAAATCCAGTGCTCTGATGCTGTGTTCTCAGTATGTTCAGCCACCGCCTCCTAGCTCAGGCCAGGTTGCTTCGTAAACTCATTTTGTGAGTACAGAAATTACAGAATGATTTTTTTGAGACAGCCAGTGGTGGTAATGCAGCAGCAGTTGGATTCCTTCTTGGTCTTATTTAGTGCTCATTCTATCAGAGGTTGTCCGTGGAGATATCACAGTTTTGTGATTTCCAGATATTTTTCTGGAAAAAAGAGGCAAATTCCAAAGGTATCCGGTGCCTACAATTTATTTTTAGACAAAATAGTGATACAGAATTTTCATTATAGAGGTTTGATGCAATTAAATGCTTTAAAAAAACCTTATTATAAAGATGTCCAGATGCATTGCTAAAACAAGTGGACCTCAGGAGAATGTCTGTGACCTGTCAGTATTCATTCTTTCTTTCTGTGGACTAGTTACATACCTGGTATAGATTAAACAACAATTAATTAAATGTGTTTCACTTTCTAAGGAGGAACTGAGGTTTTGAAACGCAGGATTTATCCTCTGTGTCTGTGCTAGCAACATGCTGCTCAGCTAATGCCAGTGGCTTTTTTGAAGATTGTTATTTTTGTCATGCAGTACTCTAATATTTTTCTGCGGCTTTGTTTCTGAAAACAATGTTTTTAAAGTATTTGGAATACATTTTAGAAAAAGCATCTGCAAAGTCCTCAACTGCGTCCCTCTTCACAAAGATAGGCATGCTTTTGCCCTTTCCTCAGCGTGAAACAATTTACCCTGCAGGAAACTCAAAATAAAAGACCATTCCATGAATGGCTTCAGTGACTCATCTACAGAGATGGAGCGTCTCAAGTCTATGACTAAAGAGTGAAACAAAAATACATATTGATAACGTGTGCAAATAAAGAAGACCTTTATAACACAGGAAAGGTGATGCTTTATCATGTGGTTGAGTGATGTCGTGCTTGACTCTTGAAAGGAAAGGTTGTCAGGTCTCAACACCTCTTTTTAAAAAGCTCAAAGAATAATTCTCAGTTAAAAGAGACTCTAAAAAATAAAAAAATGTAGGAAATGGTTTTCCTTCATTTAAGCATGGTTATTTGTAAGGGGCAGTTGAATCTAAACTCCTGACTGTAGATGCTGGTCATGCTCTTAGAACAGTATATTTGATTTCTGCTTATATGGATTTTGATTTCCTGTATTTCTCTTTTGCTGATACAAGCAGACAGGATACATTCAAGCAGTGCAGGTGACACCACATGCATGTGGGGTTTTTGGGGTTTTGTTTTTTATTATTTTTGGACAGTATTTATGAAGATTAATGAAAATTTGTACAGTGAGTACTTTACACTTCTGCTCCCTCATGTGTAAGCCAAAAGCAAGAGCTATGCTCTCCAGTAGACATTGCATACATTGAATTGGCTTTTTATTTCTTCTGAAAAGAAAGAATACTAAGCAGTGCGAGAAGAAGGTGGGGTAAGAATTTGTAATGTCTTGCATAACGAGGCAGCTAGAGTGAGTTTCACGCTTGTGTATTTGTTTTGAAGTCAATGAAATTGGGCTAGTATCCACCAGGTGATGATTTTGTTTTTCACCACTTTGAGAACCTCTATGAATCAAGGTTTTTCTTTTGTCTCCACTGTTACCCAGTGAAGGAAACACAGAAGGGTGGCAGGAAAAAATAGAAGTGAGAAAAGTCAACTAGTGAATTCTTCAAACATTTTGAACTGGTGAACAGTGTTAAAAATCAATTTTTGGGGCTTCCAAAGAGATTTTCCTTTAGCTTCTTTCACTTATTTACATTTGTGGTCTTCAGAGCAATTTTAAGTATCTTCTTAAATTTTTAATATGCATTTTTTAGGAGACACATCTTAGAATCACAGAATGGTTAGGGCTGGAAAGGACCTCAAAAATCATCTTGTTCCAACCCCTCTGCCATGGGCAGGGAAACCCTCCACTACATCAGGTTGCCCTAAGCCTCATCTAACCTGGCCTTGAACACTTCCAGGGATGGGGCATCCACAACTTCTCTAGACAACCTGTTCCAGTGCCTCACCACCTTCAGAGTGGAGAATTTCTTCCTTCTATCTAATCTAAATCTCCCTTCTTTCAGTTTAAATTCATTGCTCCTTGTCCTATCACTACATGCCCTTGTAAAAAGTCCCTCTCCAGCTTTCCTGTAGGCCCCCTTTAGGTACTGGAAGGCTGCTATAAGATCACCCCGGAGCCTTCTCTTCTCCAGGCTGAACAGCCCCAACTCTCTCAGCCTGTCTTCATGATACGGGTTGCAGATATGACCGTGTTCTGTTCTATATTTTTCTTCACAAACCATGCTGTATTTGGTACGCAGTTGCGATGGGCTGAAATGGGATGTGAGCTGGCCAGGTCTTGCTTCATTCCGGGTGCAATTTGGATGAGCATAAACAGGCAGCTCATTGCACTAAGAAGATAATTATGAATATAGAGCAGCTTCCTTGTTTGCTGCACACTGTCTGATCTGTGCTGTTGCAGACGTTGGAGGTCTTCTGGAAAAACAGTTTCGATAGCTTGAAAGCAAAAATACAACCTAAGCGGAAGGGTAAGCAGAGGGAGGATGCTGCCTCAAGCACCTGATTTTTGCTATGTGCTGACAAGTAGCTGCTGCATTCCAGCTTGGATGGGGCTGTGTATGAAAAAAGTTGAAAGGTATGAGAGAGGTGCTGTTTCATTTAGCAAATTGTTTTTTACAAATACAGAGACATGGAACACCGATCAGAAAGTTTGGCAGTGCGGTTGTTAAGACTACTGTTTCTTCTGTGATCCAAGTTTGGTTTGCTTACATGCCACCAGAAATGTTCTTTGAAACTATTGAAAACACCTTCAGTCTTCGTCTGTTTGAGACTTATACAGTGGAAAGTGATACAGCCTGAATTTTTTACCCGCCTTTCCACACAAAAGTAGTTGGCTGTATCTCTTTTGTGACTTTCTTTTGTGCATATGGAATTTCCTGCCGATGTAAAACCATAGATGGGTCATCAGCTAGTTTTGCCACTGTCCTGCATAATTACAGGGAGAAATGCTGGCATAATGTCTCAAGAATGTCATACCTGGCTAGCAGTACATTTCAAAACTGCCACTGTAGCTCTGCATTGGTCTGAGTCAGGCAGAATGGCATGGGAGAGCAACTGGCTTGGTGTCAGGTTCACATGATTTGGGAAGTGCAGGCACAGGGAATAATTCAGCAAAAATGCTGGGCTGCTGATCTCTGCAGCAGATAACCCAAACAGTGCAAACAAAGCAAACCCAATGACAGTATGCTAGCTTACTTTGTTTTGTTTGCTAAACTGACCCTTTATGTTTGCTTTCTTATGTTATCAGCCCAAGAGGATGAAGCCATCCTGTTAAGTAAGCTCAGCTCTCTATCAAAAGAAAGACATTGTCTTTTGAACGTAAAAAATAGTTAATTCTCAAATCTGTAGACATATGCAGAGAGCTGCCCTGTAGCCACATCTTGTCCCATTAATGACCTGACATCTTAAACCAAACATGCATTTCCCAGTGGTGTCCTCAGACAGGAAAGACCTTGCCTTTCATCATGACCTTTGACTACTGGACTTGGAACGACCTCTTGTAGACACAAGTGGTTTGCCTCCTATAGGATGAATGCTTCTGATCAAAAATAGGAGACCACACAGTGATGAAACAAGTTCAGTGTACAGTCTGCTCCCCAGGCTTTTAGTCACTGACAAATAAGTACCATACACTTCCAGATTTCAGGGCAGAGACATAAAGGAGGTAATCAGTAATAAACGAAATGTGCGTTGACAGGTGAAAGATGGCAATGTACATCTGTGTAACGTTGGTTTAGTGGGCAGAGCTCTGTTTCCCTAATGAAAAAGCTGTGTTGTTAGAGATCCAGCATGGATATCATTACAAATTTTCTCTCTTTACCATTGATTATATCAGTACAGGGTGGTCTGTGTTTCTGCTAAATAAATGCCAGATGCCTGAATGGGAATCAGTTGTAATCAGAGGAGCTTTGTTTTCTATCAGTGCACTGAAGGCTGACTGAGCCAGATGGATGTTCTCCCTACCAATAGTAAAGCTGATGCGCCAAGCCTTGTTGAGACAGTGATAAGGTGTCCTTACCTTGATAAATCTTCATTGTGTATTTTAGGGATTGTACTTTAGGTCTTTATAACGACCTATAGAAGAAGACAGCTTACAGCTTGCGTGTCCCTCTACTTTCCAAGTCCATCCCAAAACCTGGAAGCCCAGCCAAGCCTAACAGTGCCCTCTGAACTTTCTCTTCGTACCTTCATCAATGCAAAAGTGGGTGTGCCAACACCAAGCCAGCAGTGCTGTGACAGTGCTCCCTGTCAAGGAGAGCTGTTGCACATGTACAGAGGACTTGACTGCAGCTGCTCAGAACAGTGTCTTTTTATCCAGCGGGATGAGTAAAGCATTGTCACTCAGTCAGACCCGTGGTTTTGGACTGCATAGGCAGGCATTGCTGTATGGGTTGTACTGAGAACACGCTTCTAAGCAGGTTTTGGTTTGAGCTGGTTTGTTTTTTATCGGTTATAAACACTGTCTTCAGGTGTGGTCACAAAGCTGTGGTCCTTAGTGTTCACTTACCTTCATCAATGGACTAAAAATGTGTCCAGGCAGTCTGGAGCCAGCTGTGTGCTGCTGCATATCCTAGAGAAGAACATTGCTGTATTTCCTAGCATAACTGTCTATGATATTGAATATTCAAGTTTGTTTTCTTATCTTCATACCACAGACATGGCATCAGCATAGGCCAAATTGCAGGTGCCTGTGTTTCTGATGTCCCCTGTCTGACTTGATGTGAACTTTTAAGAAAGCAGTTTTTAAAGAACTGGTTTTGAGATCATCCACACCTCTTCCCCTTCCTTTCCTGGTGCCCCTCCAAAAACCGTCTGCTATGAGGCTTGTGTTCTGGCAGACAGCTGTTCACAGCACTGCTTGAGAAAGAAGATGTGGTTGTGTGGAAAAGCAGAGTTTCGCTTCAGATAAACCTCGTTGCTGTAAACATGGTATGCTGGCAGGGCAGATGTGCTGCTTGGTTTTTTCTTTCTTCCATTGTAGCAACAGCGTGTTCCTTCAGTTACACACTTCTTGTTTGTCTTTGTTTGGATTTGTGTTGTAGTTTAGTTGTTGTGGAGTTCTAGGCATGTAGGTATGTTGCCATGTTCTTATAGTCTTGAGACATGAAAAAACAGAGATGAAAAGTCAGATAAACTCTTAGTTTTCTTCCTACAGAATTGCTGAAGAATTACAGAATTCGTAATTTTTAAGTAGATAGCTTTCAAAATTTGTTGAGTTTTTTTGATTTTTGTCTATTTCCTAGACAATGGTGTATGTTTCTTTTATGCCCTTTGTTCTGCAAACAGCTTTTTGACTGATTCCAGGGAAATCAGTAAGACTGTCCCATGCATCAGGTATTTTCCAAACCCAATCTCATCTTCTGCATGTATTTTTGTTTAGAAAATGATAAAACACAAGAACTTTGAGTGGTACCATTCTGGTTTCAAGCCCATGGATCCAAATGCTACTTGATGCATGGCATAGCTCCTTGATCTACCTGCTTCTTCCACGCCCAGCTGGAAGAACATTTGAGCAAAGCCACAGCACATGCTCTGGCACCCAAGTCCTAGCATGCTCCTGAGCCACCTTCCTACTGCCTGAATTCTCACATATGTCCAAATGCTGTCCTTTTGTCCATCTGTACAATGCAGATGAATGCAAAATTGTTTTTGCTGTTTAACAGTGGGTGAGTTTATTTTTACTGGTAGCTGCGTGCATGAGGCACTGTGCTTCCTTGTTCGCAGGGGCAGACAGGCACTGGGCCTCTGAGGGCAGCTGCAGCTTCACAGCTCGCTGTCACAGAAGCAGAGGATCGTTTCAAAGTGTAGGCTATTGCTTCAGTAGGCTGGATCACATGTGCCAAGATACCATGGTGATTATTCCTTCTGATTTCTTCTAGTTTTTTGAATACCTTCTTCATTGCATAAAAATACTTTGCAGAGCACGAACAGAGGTTTAAAAGTAGAAAGTAGTAACTTTAGATTAAGAGTTTGGCATATGAGCACTTCTATTAACAATTAAGTGCTGAGTTATATCCAGAGTGACAGCTATGAAGCGTGCAAATTAGCAAATCTGATTGTTGTTCAGAAAAATGGTTTCTAGTCTTTTGATACTGCATTGTATTCATCGTATATCAGCATGCAATAAAATGTTATGTTCTCTACCACCTGTAATAATGTAGGAAGTGGTGAAAATTGGAATGATAAAGTCAAACTCATTGATCCAGAAAAACAGCCAAAAACATAAGCCAGCGTCTTTAAATTTTTTGGAGGTTGTATATACATAGGCAAAAGTAATTTTGTGTTACTTTGAATTATATTCAAAGTAAAGAATTAAAACTGATGAGCAGGCAGCTGTGATTAAAGTTTTCTATAAGAAGAGTCCATAAGCATCTGCCTCTTGCATTTGCTGGCTTGGCTACTCTATTGAAAGACTGAGTAACTATTGAATGGGTTTGTAGGGACCTAGTTACTTGTATTGCTGTCTTTATAATGAACATCAATTTCTTTTGTGTCTTAATTAGAATTTCTACCTGGCAAACAAAGGGAAGAATGAAAGCAAAGAAATGAATGATAAAAACAAAGAGGCTTTACTGGAGGTAAGCCAACTTTCTACTTTGATGGTGCAAATGTTCACCAAAACTCTGCCACCATCTGCATCTGCTCTGCAACAACAGCTTTTAGTTCTTTATGGGCAAATGTGCAACAACAGCGTTTAGTTCTTTGTGGGCAAATGTGTAACAACAGGAAGTTCTGTGATGGTTGGTGTCTTTGTGTTAAAGGTTTAATATGTGGATTTTACTCTGCATCTGAGGAATGAGCAGCAGCACACCATTAAAAATGCATATTCTATCCCCTATCAGAGAAATCAAATGATAGAGAATTATTTTGTTGGTATAGAACCCAATGCCATGAAACATTTTTACTTAGGGTTTCTATGAAGAGTAATGCCATGATAACAATAAAAGCAGTGTTATACAAATATAAATAAAAGAAACAGCTGTGTCACACCCTTAGGCCAGCCCGTGTGACTTTATATTGTTGGTAAAGTTGATCAGTTGCAAACAATTATATTTTGGGTTAGAGGTAAATGTACTTCTCACTACCTCAAATTATTAGCTGTTCTACAACAGGAAAAGAACCTTTGCACCTTGCCAGAAAGTCTTTTTAGCCTCTTGCCTTTCCTG